GGTGTAGGACTGGGAGAAGTACCTCTCCTGAAGATCTCAGGGCCTAGGCAAGTTTGTACAAGGGAATACAGTCAGCCAAATAGCCTGGACCTGCACCATCTAGAGCTTTAAAGGTCATAACCAGCACTTTGAATTGCACCCAGAAACATACTGGAGGTCAATTAAGCTGCTGCAACAGGGGGTTGTCAGCTCCCTGTAGCCAGCCCCACTTAGCAATTTGGCTGCAGCTCTTTGGACCAGCTATGTTTCTGAGTACTCTTCAAACACTTGTGCCAGCAGGACTGCTGACTGAAAGGTCGGTGGTTCAAATCTGGGTAGCAGGGTGAGCTCCTGACTGTCAGTTCTAGCTTGCAGGGACATGAGAGAAGCCTCCCACAGGATGGTAAAACACCCAGGTGTCCCCTGTTCAGTGTTCTTGCAGATAGCGAATTTTCTCACACCAGTAGCAATTTGCAGTTTCTCAAGTCGCTCCTGACAAACACACACACATACACACAAACCTTTAGGAAAATACACTTGAGAAATGTTGTCTGTGGGATGAGGAACCAGGTCAGGAGGAAGGAGTCACTATAGACCAGTGCAACTCCACTTCCCCACCCCTCAGGCCTCACCTGCTGCTGTACAGAGAATCATGGTGGGCAGAGCTGAGAGATTAACCACCCCAGTCTCATCCAACTGGGTGTCTGTGGTACAAACCAGGTCAGCATGCTCATCCAGAATCATGTCCTGGATGCCAGGTGTTTTTCCATTTGCTGACTTGGCATTCAGCAGCAGCACTTTCCACCTAGGGGGGCTGTTAACCCAGTTGTCCAGGTTATTAAATATAGGAAACAGTCTAAGGGCAACAAGCACTCTATTTAACTCCTATTTTGTTGGTACTGAGACTGTATCCCCCTGCCCTGTAGAACTCCAATTGCTCCTCCATGACTCTAGAGACTCCCTCCCTCCTTAGAAAGACACATCCTTCCTATATGGGGCAGGCTAACAAATGGCAAGTAAAAACCCTATATAAAGCCAGAAAGGCAGTTGATCAAAGCAAGGTAATGGCTTGAGGTCAGACAAGCATTGCTTTTGTGCCACCTTCGAAGCGGTTCCCCCAAGGGTCAAACCCCTTTGGTGGTGACGTGGCACCACAGACATTCTCTTTTTGTCCCCAGTCTGGAGGCAAGCATGTGCTTGCCTTGCCCTAAGTCAGGGCCTAAGTCTGAGAAGACTCAGTCCTCTGCAACAGGAGCTGAAGACAGGCTGCCCACAGAAAGCAAACACTGTCTCCTCCTTCCAAGCTCCTTACCAATGTTTCTTCTGGCTCTTTTGGATGGTGCTGTAACATTCTTCTGACTATATTGAAAAGGGGAAAGACTGATGCATTAGAAAGCAAACCTTTGTTCCTACAGATTTTTAAAACTTCAACTCCCAGAAGCTAGGAACACTTTCCTTGGTGGCTGGGATTTTGTGTTCTGAAGTCCAAACAACTACTGTAAATCCAAAGGCTGAAAACCACTGCACAAAACATAATCTAGCACTATGACCCAACATACCAACATGATTAATTAGCAATAAATTTAATTCCTTAGCAATCTCATCAAAAGTTCTTCACAGACAAATGGCTTAGGTATGTTGAATTTTTCCAGATAGCAGAAAATGGTAGATTTAAAAAAATCCTTTGTGACCCCTATCTTAAAAGTTAATGAGCACTACAGACATTAAAAATAAATTCAACAGCTGATGGCTAGGAAAAAGTAAAGGAGCTTTGTGTGCCTTGATTCATAGTTGCTTATGAATTCACATTTGGAATGTTGTTCAAACAACTGTTTGTGGCAGACAGTTATGATTCCCAGTCATTTTTACTTTATGTAGTCTTTTCATTCCCATGTAAAGCCCCTGGCAGCATTACCTTACCCAGATGGTGGCCACATCACTTTTGTAGATGTTCAAAGAGCTTTTGAGGTTTCCACAGCCACCCAACATCAAACAATATGCAGCATAATCGTCTGCTTAGATATCATTCACCCACTGTGCATAAATAGTGCAGTGAACCAAAAGTCTACTTTCCCAGTCTTTTAGTCTACCGCTCAATTGCTGCTTTCAGAAAGCCAAATTGCTTCCCCTGTTACCAAAACAAAAATTCCTAAATCAAATCCATATATGTACCAAACCTTGGAGTGCAGAGGAGGACATTTACATGCAAACGTCTGATTACACATACCCATTACTTTCTCAAGTAAGATTTAGATTAATATCCAGGCATATAGTCAAGTAGATATTTTTCCATTTTAAGTCATATGAGCAAAAAGAAGGGGCTCCTTTAACAGAGTTAGTTTAGTGAGAACTTTCATGGATTAAAATCCATCTCTTCTGATAGATTAATACTTTACATATATATGCAAGATATATATTTATGCATCTGAATAAAGTGCTTCACCATAGTTTGAAGGGGCAGGCACACAGGTGAGTGAAGCTCCATTCACCCACGTGCCCAATCCCCTTCCAGCTACAGTGATTCACTTGGCTGAGCAAAGTGCCAGCAAGCAAAGTCCTGTAGCTAGAGGAGGAGAGTTGCTTAGGTGAGTGAGCGAATGAAGCAGCTACTTTGGAGTGATGAATCAAGGGCGTGACTACTAATCAAAGAAAGTTAAAATACCAATGGAGGCAAAAACAAGGCTGTGACTAGTATATGGTGGTGACTATTATGTGATTAAATAGGGTACTTATTTATGGTACTGTCCATGCTCTAATGGGAATATGAATCATATCAGAACTCTGTGTGCCAAATTTTGTGCATGGCTTAACAAATACAAAAATGCGGATTTGAATTCTATCTTCAGAAGTGTGGTTTGTTGCACAATATGATTAAGAAAGTTTAACAAGAGATAGGGGAGGGAAAACAAGGTATTTCTGTATGTACATAAAGATGGATGCAAGATATAAAATGAATAAAATGACACAGTCTAATTTGCCTACCTTTAGCTAGCAGAACAAATAGAATCTTAGTAGGACAGACATTACACAGAATTTCAGCAAGGCAGCACAGTACTTTTCTTCTCTCCAGGGCCCTTTTGAGGATTGCTTAAGTGACTGACAACCTGAGCTAATATCAGCATTTGGCAAAGGATTGCTTTTTAACAGGGTTATTTTTTTAAAAAAATCAGAAAGATATTCTTTTCACAATTGCATAGTTGAAATAGATTATTTGGGGTTGCTATTGATAATCTCTCCTTTTCCTTTCCTTTTGAGGAAAACCTTGTGAACAGAAGGGCTTCTTGTGTGTGGAAAAGAAGCGGGGTGTTAGTATCTCCTGTTTATATTTTGATCAAGAATTTCTTTCCTCACATTGATACTGAGATTCTTGGGCAATCATAAGCCCAGTGTGTTTGGCAGAAAATCGATGTGTCCTAGCCAGTCTGTTGGCTATCAAGCATGCTAATTTCCCCACCTTGGCTGAAGACAGTGCCTCATCACAATAATAGGCAGCTATACAGAAGCTATACAGAAGTACCTTAACAGCATATTGAAATAAAGCTAGCATCGATTGGGTGCAGGAATGCAAATTTTAATTAGGAATTTAAATTCCCATCCCCCTTCAAAATATGTACCATTCTTTCAGCTGATTTTGCAAAGCCACTTTCTGAACCAGGTTTCTGGAGGTCAAAGAGAGTGAATAACGTGACATGTGATATTAAACAAACTGTTTAAAAAGTTTCTGGCATTAAGGTTTTCCTTGTGAAATTCAGGAAAATTTAGTGGTCTTGGGGGGGGGGGGGGGGGAGGCTATGTGTCCTCTTATTGAAAGCAATGAGTTTTCATTAGGTTCCAGTATTAAGCTTCCTATTACATATGAATCAATTATTAGAATCTGAGCCCAGGCAAACTTATCTAAAAGGCCTGTAAAGTTGGGTCATTCTTCCCAGCTCTATTAGTAGCCTATGAACTAGGGATAAGAAAGTCTTCAAACATTATCACATGAGGATGTAAACCACATTGGAGGTTCCCTAGATATGAATTTAAAAACTTACTGCCACATGATCTCACCCTTTAGAAGCCTTCCATATTAGGCTATTTACATGTCACCCATAAAAGACAGACTTCAGTCATCAATCATGGGACAGAGTGCTTATGCTGGAACATTTTGTTTTTTTAATGCTCTGCTATTACTTTCAGCCAATTCTGAGTAGACTTACTCTGAAAGAATGGGCTTGAGGACCAAGCTGTTATTTCAGAACTGTGATGGATGCCAAAAGAAAGAGTTGCAACCAATTTTGCCCCAAGCAACATTTAAGTAGAATTTGGAGGCTTGATTGTGTATAAATTATAATAAATGACTAAGAGTGCATTTACAATGTAGAGTTGATACCATTTGACACCACTTTAACTGCCATTAGAAGCATGACAAAATCTCATTAAGTTACTTGCTTTCCCAATCTCATTTCATTCCATTTCCACATTTGTTTGTGAAACTCTCTTTTTGAATGCATGCATATAGGTATATATTTTTTGCACAAATTCTCTAAATGCAGCTTTTTCTCCTCTGAAATGCATTACAGATGTATATATTTCTAAGGAACAATTTTTTTTATATTCTATGGGTAATCTTTCCATGCAGAAATGTAAAATGAATGAACCTTCCTTATCCCAAATAGTAAAACAATACTGTGACTATTGCCCAGTATCTACTGATTGTGGGAAGTGACTCACTCTGTCAAATCTTTGTAAAACTCAGCCCTTTAATTTTAAAAAAATCACTGATCAGTTAACCATATTAACTTGATTCCCCCAGTAAATACTGGAGTAGTCTTGCTCCTTCTTTCAATAATCTAGCCATGAAGAGGGCATGGCTTTCCACACATGGATTGTGAAAGCACAAAGGAAGAATCCAGCATACTCCCCCATATGTTTATTTTCCCCTTCTTATAAACACCCAAATATGGATATTGTATCAAAGTATAAAAGTGCTTGACAAATTTATGTTAACTGTTAATCAATGAAAGAATAAAGATACTTACCCGAATCATCATAACTGAACATCTAATATCATGAATTGTATCATAGACCTTCTTACAGATGTCAACAAACTGATTGTCATCAAATAGGTGAACTGTATTTCTGCTTAAATTTTCCAGTACTGTATTGACTTGTGTAATAAACTCTGGAATCACTGTTTATTGAATAAAAAGAGAGAGTAAAACAGATTATTGTAGAATGTATTTTAAATAATTATCCTTTAATTTTGAAAAAGCACACACTTAGCCTCAGGTAGAGAGAACATAATATAGTACTATGATTCTTTTTTAACTGCAATGAATGTATCCCATACAATCCTGGGGATTTTCTAGTTGGTGAAAGGACCTTCTACACTGCCGTATAAAATCCAGATTCTCTGCTTTGAACTGAATTATCTGGCAGGATAGACTCATATAATCCAGATCAAAGTAGATAATATGGATTATCTGATTTGATAATCCAGATTGTATGGCAGTGGAAAAGAGACCAAAGAGTTCCCTGAGGCCCCTTCTACACTGCCAGATTATCTGCTTTGAACTGGATTATATGTGGCCCCTTCTACATTGCCATATAGAATCCAGATTATCTACTTTGAACTGGATTATATGGCTGTGTAGATTCATATAATCCAGTTCAATTCAGATAATGTGGATTATCTGATTTGGTAATATGGATTATATGGTAGTGTAAAAAGGTCCTGGGAATTCTTAATTTTCCTCAATAAATTCTATATGGGATTTAGCCATTATAGATAAAGTGTTATCGTGGTGCTCTAATTGAGGCGTGAAGAGACCCCTGATGATGGAAAATATAGAAGGAAGAAGACACTTATAACCATTGTTATAACCAGTAGTATATCCAAAATAAAGTTGCCCATCAATTACGGATGTCATGCCAATGAAGGGTGATTCACATAATAATTCCCTTTATAGTAATCAGTAGGATTGTACAATCCACCTGGACCACGATCAGTCTTTAGTATACAAATTTTGGTGACTTTAAACAGGATGTCTAAATGTGTGAAAACAGTAAAGGTAAAGGTAGTCCCTTGACATTAAGTCCAGTCATGTCTGACTCTGGGGTGTGGTGCTCATCTCCATTTCTAAGCCGAAGAGCCAGCGTTGTCCGTAGACACCTCCAAGGTCATGTGGCCAGCATGACTGCATGGAGCGCCGTTACCTTCCCGCCGGAGCGGTACCTATTGATCTACTCACATCTGCATGTTTTCGAACTGCTAGGTTGGCAGAAGCTAGGGCTGACAGCGGAAGCTCACGCCGCTCCCTGGAATCGAACCTGCGACCTTTCGATCAACAAGCTCATCATGATATCAAAGAGTTGGGCGAAAAAAATGACATTATTTTTCTTATATGCATCCCTACATATTTCATAATCAAAAACAAGGGAAATTTCTCAGCCAATATCATTTCTTTTGAAAAGGGGAATCATCTTTATGTAAATTGATTGCATTTTTGATTGTGCAAGCTATTAAAATCAGTTATTTTATCGTATAGGAATTCTAGTAGTGAAAGAGTTTATTATATACAATGACAAAGTAATGCCTAATCGAACACATTGTTACAAGGCTGTTATTGCTACAAATTAGGATCATCATTATGGTTTGATACTTTTTTCCACAAAGAAATTCCCCAGGAAAGACCTAAGGATGGAATCCTATCTTCTAAATTAAAAATGCTAAATGTTTTAAAACTTTGATTTTAAAAAACTATATTCAGAATGATTAAGTGCCCATAGGTTTACTGTTGCAGCCCGGTCATCTGCGTGATACTTTTTCACCCAAAACAAAGAGTTAATTAGCCAAAATATAGTTCAGCCAAAAGGTATTAAATCAACTGATTTAAAATTTATTAAAGAAATAAGCATATACAGGGGGGGGGGGGAATCAAAAATACATTCCAAGGTAAAAAAAATACAAAAGTAATTCCAAGGTATATGTAATAGGGCAAAACAAAAGTACATCCAAAGTACAAGATTCAAAAGTCATTCCAAAATATATCCTACAATCATAGTATTTTTGATGCAGCAATAAAAAAGTACAGCACTGAAAATAAAGCCAGTCTCCAAAAGTTTAACAAAGAACTGTATCCAAATGAGATACCCCAATCACAGACAAAAAAAACTTGACAAGAAACCAAGAAAAGAATCTCATACCATGGAGCTGAAAGAAAAGGTGACTTTCTCCTGAAAATTCAAAGTTGCACTCACACAGAGCAGCCAAAGAAGATAACTTAAGAAACCTATTTTTTTTCTCATGGAGACACTATCTGTCTGACACCTGGAATCCCCTCTGTTTATTTTTCAAACACTGAGAAAACCATAATTGCCTCTGCTTGGCACTATCTTGTAATAATTGAAGACGTCGAATTATAGCAACAACCTAGTGTCTTCCACCTCATTCCTCTCAGGATCAGGGAAAGTCTCTGGCAGAGTCTCATGTGAAATATTCTCATTAGGAGTAGATCTGTCTGTAAGGCAATTCCCATCATCCAGGGAAGAACTACTTGGGTAGTGGGCTCCAGTTCAGGAGCATAAGGCCCCACCAAAGGATCCCCCTCTTTTTCCTCAGACCAGATCTCAACATTTAGAGTCATACAGATTTGCAGCATGATATCTAAAACGTGTTTCATCTATAAAAGGAGGACATCTAAAATGATATCACTGATCGAATAAGTTTTTTTACCTTTCGAAAATCTCAATGAAAAGCATTCTAGAGCGATAATTCTTCCAGGAGTTAATTTCCCTTTCAAGGAGTCAATTTCCCTCACTTCCTGTTGTTTCACTCCCATTCTTACTAGGAATCATTTGTAAGTTTGTAAGTACGCCACAACATAAATTAAATCAAAGAGGGAAATGAACATTGTTCAATATTTTCTTTTCAAAAGAAAATTCAAATTGGTTTAGCAGTTCTGATTATGTAAATAGTTTCCAGCTAGAATTATAATAATTCTAGAATCACTGAAAGATGGAATTCGGGGGGAAAGGGCACATTCACATAAAACAAGGACAAAAATGTTATTTTAGGAAGGAAGAAAAGAAAATATCTGAAAGCAGAAAGATAGATCCTGCTCTTTTTGCTACACTCATAATCACTCCTGGTTCTTTTCTTTTAATCATTTGAGAAGTCCCAACATTCAAGCTTATTATAGAAATAAAATGGGTGTGGGGATGGACAGTTAGGTCTGCTTCAATGATATGAATATCCCCCACCTTCAGGCCAAATCAATTTCATATGGGAACATGTAGACTGTTTATTATTATACCCCACATCCCCGTTAACCAATGCAAGTTTTAGCCTGCTTTTGAATTCAATGTTTTTTTCTATTCATACTTTTAAAATGAATGCATTGTACTGATATGTTCTTTTTATTCTACAATCAATCCCGTAGACACTGAAATGGGCAGATTCTGAAAGGAAAGTCCATCCAAGCTATATCCATTTTGGAATGATGTAGAAAATTGTACAAAATAAAAACAAAAGATTCAGAAGAGTTGATTCCTCACACATCCATAGTTGTAGATCCTTCCCGTGAGTTCCTCCTTAATATGATTACTTACCAAAGAAATATACACATTTAGCACAGCCACTCTTGGTACTTGTTTCTTACTAGTTGCTACTTCATATCTCCTACAGCTCATCCCTAGAATCTTTACATTGTGATCTAAGAACACTTGGGTGTGGCTTCATGGGTGATAATAAAGAAAGGAAGACTCCAGCAATACATGGAGCGAGAGTTGCCAGATGTTCAAGCTGGGTTTAGAAAAGGCAGAGGAACGAGAGACCAGATTGCCAATATCTGCTGGATAATGGAGAAAGGCAGGGAGTTTCAGAAAAACATCTACTTCTGCTTCATTGACTATTCTAAAGCCTTTGACTGTGTGGATCATAATAAATTGTGGCAAGTTCTTGGTGGAATGGGCATCCCAAGCCACCTTGTCTCTCTCCTGAGGAATCTGTACAAGGACCAAGTAGCAACAGTCAGAACTGACCACGGAACAACAGACTGGTTCAAGATTGGGAAAGGCGTACGGCAAGGCTGCATACTCTCACCCAACCTTTTTAACTTGTATGCAGAACACATCATGCGATGTGCGGGGCTTGAGGAATGCAAAGCTGGGATGAAAATTGCTGGAAGAAACATTAACAACCTCAGATATGCAGATGACACCACTCTGATGGCCGAAAGCGAGGAGGAGCTGAGGAGCCTTCTAATCAAGGTGAAAGAAGAAAGCGCAAAAGCTGGGTTGCAGCTAAACATCAAAAAACCAAGATTATGGCAAAAAGAATGATTGACAACTGGAAAATAGAGGGAGAAAATGTGGAGGCCGTGACAGACTTTGTATTTCTAGGTGCAAAGATTACTGCAGATGCAGACTGTGGCCAGGAAATCAGAAGACGCTTACTTCTTGGGAGGAGAGCAATGTCCAAACTCGATAAAATAGTAAAGAGTAGAGACATCACACTGGCAACAAAGATCCGCCTAGTCAAAGCCATGGTATTCCCTGTAGTAACCTACGGATGTGAGAGCTGGACCTTAGGGAAGGCTGAGCGAAGGAAGATCGATGCTTTTGAGCTGTGGTGTTGGAGGAAAGTTCTAAGAGTGCCTTGGACTGCGAGAAGATCCAACCAGTCCATCCTCCAGGAAATAAAGCCCGGCTGCTCACTGGAGGGAAGGATACTAGAGACAAAGTTGAAGTACTTTGGCCACATCATGAGGAGACAGGAAAGCCTAGAGAAGACAATTATGCTGGGGAAAGTGGAAGGCAAAAGGAAGAGGGGCCGACCAAGGGCAAGATGGATGGATGGCATCCTTGAAGTGACTGGACTGACCTTGAAGGAGCTGGGGGTGGTGACGGCCGACAGGAGCTCTGGCGTGGGCTGGTCCATGAGGTCACGAAGAGTCGGAGACGACTGAACGAATGAACAACAACAATAAAGAAAATGCTTGAATAAAAATAAGAAAGTAAAATAGCTAAAATAGAAAAAGTGGAAAATATGAGTAACAGGTGCAGAAAGAGATCCTCTTTCACATATGTATGATGTGGAGAATGTCAGAGTCAAAAATTGTGTGTGCACAGATCTTCCTATGTAGATGGGAGAAGATAGGAATATCAGGAATAAGACCAATTCCAAATGAT